TTGCTTAACTACAATAGGAAATGCCAATGCTATAATTTGAATGAAACTTTCAAGCTTTGTTATAATTGAAAAAGGGTATAAAACCCTAAAAATAAATTAAAATATTCTAATTATACTTCATTATGATGATGAATATCAAACAATATTCCAAAAACCCTAAGAGAGCTAAAAATCCAAATTTATAAATCATAAAGCTTAAAAACTTTATAAAATTTGGCTATAAACTTTCTAATATCAAATTTTTATTAATCAAATTATGGATTATAATCATTGAAATAGGAATTAAATTATCATGCAATAATCATAATTTATTAGTTAAAAACAAGATTTTTTACAAATAAATCAAGAATTGCTTAATAAATATTTTTATAAAAATTAGGGTTTTTATAAAAATATTGGAGGGAATTTTATAAAATTTGAAATTAGGAGAGAGGAGGCCTAATGCATGATAGAGCCAGCCATTCTCCCCTCCCCATGCACTCTCTCTTCCCAAAACTCAATCATTAGACTTAAACCCTCACTCTACCTCTTCTCTCTTCACTCTCTCACACTCCACCCTCCTAACCCACAAACTCTCTTCCCTCTCTCTCTCTCTAACCCACGAAATTTCTCTCATTCCTCTGCCAAATTTCGAGATTTTGAAGACCTTGAAGTGTTCTTACTTCCCTCAAGATCAAAACCAAGGTAAACAACAACATCTTCTCCCATAGTTTCATGATTCTACTTCCTCTTCTTCTTAGTTTTCTCTTCTTTTCGGATTCTATGCCTTTCCATGGCTAGAAATCTTTATTTTTCCCTTGTGGTTTGTAGATTCTCACCATAACACAATGCATGTGTTTGAAATGGTGAAAATCCGGGATCAAACCCATGCAAGGAGTGAAAATGATGCACATATGTTCATGTGACTTCAAAAACAAGTATTACATCTTCTTCTCCATTTCTTTTGTGTTCTTGCATGATCAAAAGCATTTAAACCATTTCTAGTACATCTTGGATGTTCATTCACTCCATGCATGTGCTAGAAATCGGACCTTATCAAAGGCATGCATGATGTTCTTGTCAAAATGTCCTAAGGATGCACTCAAAGCAAACATGCAATCTGCCAGATTACTTTATTCAGCTTTGAACGACCATATCTCGGTCATTTCTTAACCAAATCATGATATTCTTTTTGTATTGGATAGTTCCATGAGTTAACTTTCAAACCCAACTGGTCTCACTGTAAAATATTAAATATCCGATTTTTGGCAATTTTTACAAAATGGTTGCGCAAACAGCTCTTTTTCTATGATCACCATTTTTGCCTTGCATGATCAATGGCCTTAAACCCAACCATAAATCTGGGGAAAAATACTTTAGAAACTTAACATATCCAGTGAATGATGGTTGAAATTTCGTGGCTTAAAACCCCACAGAATGTGCTTCATAAATTCATGAACTTCAGCCACATTTACATCTCATGCACCATTATATGCAACATTTCTTAACTTGTTTGGGTTCAATACCCCTATTTCCCTTCTGAATAAAATTTGAACATTTTTCCTTTTGAAAGCCCTCACATGCATGTGATAATCTGGAAAATTTCAAGAGCTTTTATCATTTCTTTGATTTATTAAAATTATTGCTAGAAACCAAGGGCATAAATCACATAAAATACTTCCAGAGGTCAATAAATCCGGAACAAATTCATGAATGATCCTTATGAAGGATAATGACCCCTCACTAAATTTCATCAATTTTTGTTGCTGTTTGGTATGCTTTCCGATTTTCTTTTTGTTAGGATATAATAAATCGCAAAACCACTTTGGAGAGTGTGAAAATTTTATCTAACAATTTTCGCATACCTTACCTGTAATGGATGACTCAGAAAAATAATTTCAACATTTTTCATCATGCCTTGCTATTTTTCCCAATTTTTGGTAATTATAATGGTTTAAAAATAGGAAAAATAGTTCTGATTATCCAAAATTCATGAAAATTTACCAGAACATCATGTTGTACAGTAGGAGGTTACATAAAAATTTTAAGGATTTTTCTCCACTGTAAACTATTTTTCTCTTAATTTCTAAAGTTAATTACACTTAAATTCACATAAATACCCAAAACCGGATTATACAATATGAAGACCACTTTTGGTATTTTTCCCAGGTTATTTATACTGTAAATGATGTTCCAAAAATTTTTGGTAAATTATTTTAACTGTTTAATATTATTTCTTCAATTAATGATTATTTAAAGGAATAAAACAAGGAAAAATAGAAATACCCACTGAAAAATATCTTTTATATTTTTCCCAGCCTATTTATGTACAATAACAGTTAATTAAAAAGTTTGGGTAATTTTGGAAACTGTTTTCTATTTATTTCAATTTTATTGGAATAAATGCTCAAAAATCATAAAATATAATTAAACAGCTTGGAAATCCATTTTTATAATTTTCCCAGCTTAGTATTGTGTAATAACAGTTAAATAAAAAGTTTGAGAATTTTTATCCTTTGAATACTATTTTCGTGAATTTATGTTGTAATAAGGACTTAAAAATTTGGAAAATTTATATTCTAATGTTGTAATTAATCGCACGATTTGTAGAATTTCATTATTTCAGAAAAGTGTAACCAATTAATATAAAATCAAATACTAAAACATAAATTGGCATTTCACTATATGTAGAATTTAGTATATTAGCATTAGATTTCGACATGGAAACTCACTAGTGTGTGTTTGATGTCGTAGGATCCCGGTAGTAAGACGTTGATGCATTCCGAAGTACCCCTTGTACCTACTCGAAATGTTGTGAGTATTCACGCACTCCCCTATTTTCGGTTTTTATGTTTTGGGGTGGAAAAGCATGTCCTAAACTATTTATGTTCGTTGTATTTATTTGACTCGTATAAACTTGGTTGCTACATTTTTCATATTGTGAGTATTCACGCACTCCCCTATTTTCAGTTTTTATGTTTTGGGGTGGAAAAGCATGTCCCGAAAAATTATTATTTGAATGTTGTATTTAAATTGATTTGTATCAAACATGATTGCTATTTTATTGCTATATCTCTCTATGTATGTCTATGCAACACGAAACATGAGAACTTATCGTACTAAGGCCCTTCCCTTATCTCTAACCATTAACTCTTTGAGCCAATGGTCATTATGGATAGCGCTATTAGGAATTGACAACTCCTCACTCGCCGGAATCACTGGAGTGCATGATACCATATTCATCTATGAAACGATAAGCATAGATCTCGATAGGGCTTCAGTCATAGGTTTGGTTGAGACTCATTGTTTGCTCATACACATACAAACTCGTTTCTCGTTATAGCAATAATCTTGTATTCATTAATAGCAATCAACTTTGTTTATCATCAAAGCAATGTACTTGTATTTACGAAAAGCCTTATTCCAAGCTCGATTTTATAAACTTGTGAACTCACCAACTATTTTCATAGTTGACGCTCGTTTTACATGCTTTTTCAGGAAATAATTAGTAAGTGGATATAAAGATTCATCATCATAGAGCATGCTGCATCGTGTTGAAGTTAATTGTGGAGTTTTCTTTGAACAATGTTATTTTGGAAAAACTTGTATTTTGTTTCTTTTGAAGCTATGGGTTGTAAACTTTTAAATACTGCTATGGTGATGTATCATTATCTTTTGCAATGAAACCGTTATCGCTGTCATACCTTGCGTTTCCGCTTTAGCGGGGTGTGACAGTACCCAACAATATTCACAGTTAACCCGTTGCCTTAAAATGATTGACACATTTAATGGGGTAAAATGCTTATTTCTATTCAAGAACGTCCAGAGCTTAACTATGGGAAACGTTTGGTATTCTAGTGTATGTAATAGCTTAAAGAAGGTGGATCCAAGTGGGATTAGCAAAATCAAGTCAAAAATCAAACTAGGATTGGAGGTATAAATACTTACCTATCTAAAAATTTATATCATGATATTGGATCGATCACACCCTTTATGATTCACTTGCCATATTGTTATTCTGAAGTTACTATTCATCATCCTGTTGTTATTGTTCATTTGATGCTACTTTTCGCTAAGGCGTTACTGTTTTTTCATGTGTAATGTTCATCCACATGTACATGTTCATTGAAGGACTAGTGTTCATGCTCTTAATTATCAAGACACTATTCACAAGTACTATTCACATGTATTTTTCATTGACATTCTATTCATAAGTATTGTTCATCAAAGAACTGTTTGTTCATGTCAAAAAACAAAAAATAATAAGAAAAAGTGCTCCAAGATGTACCTTGCAAAGGAAAACCAAAAAAATCGATACCTTGGAATGATTATTTTACTTTTATTGATCATAGTTTTTCTATTGTAACAACTTGTTGACCATGTCTCTTTTATTAGCAAGTTGGAATAATAGTATTTACATGGCATTCGGGTTAGGGTTTAAGCATACATAAATTGAGTTTGGAAATCCTGGGAGACCACCTACTTCTTGAATTGTAGGCACTATCTTGTATTTTCTTTCGATAGTTATTAATTAAAAAGAATGGAGCCTCGTTCTTATGAGCATAACATGAACAACCAAGAAGAGAGAGACTTCTTTTTTTCTTTCACATGGGTTCTAGAATAAGACATGTAACTAAAATCAGAATCATCTAAGTATCTATCCATGTTCCATTTTCTAACTTTTGGGGAACAAAAAAACAAGAAATTCACCTAAAATATGACTACTTTTATAATGAAAACTATACACGTGAATCATGCTATAAACTTCAATACCAAACATCAAAATTTTCGCAAAGAAAAGAGAATAGATCCATTTAACGTGTAAGAAATCTAATTCTAACAAACTGTAAGTGTTCATACTTTTCAGCTCGGACTATACTCACACTCAATCCACATGACATTTCAAGACATTCAACATATCTTCACATTTATATGTAATTCAACAACAAAAATAGGCATATTTCTAACAATTTCAAGAATCTTTGCGTTAATATACATTTCAAGATACCAATCCTATACGATTACCAGTAATCACCACAAGAACAATTACCATCAACAAAGTGATGAAACCTATTTGAATCTCTAACAACTATCAACCTTCCCACAATCTTGGAAACATACTTCAACACAGTATGACAATCACCACAAACCCTCAAATTCTTCATTATCCTAATAGGCATTTCAGATTTCCTTGTAAGAACAAAAGCAACTGCAAGTTTCTCACTATGGTAACTCAAAATCTCCTCTTGATTCTCAATTTCAAGATCACGAAGCGCGTATCTAGTCTCAGCCACATACCCCATCTCTTTCATTCTTCCTTTTAATTCTTTGAGCTTCTGATAGATCGCATCTGTATCAGGATGCGATCTATCAGAAGCTACAAAAGCATGAACACCATCTTTCATTGTCACCCAACTACACCCTGCTTCTTTTTTCACTTCTGCTACTTTCATCAATCCACGTGTCCTTTTCATGTCTTCCCATTTACCTGTTCAATCAACATATATCAAAAAATGATGAGGTAGATACCAAGTATGTTCTACCTTTTAACAATTATAATCTGCTTCTCGTCTTTATCAATTAAGTCATTCGAAAGATTTGACACCAATATTTATATGATAAGTTCAAAATCGTTCTTAAATTCAACATCACCATTTCATTACCTCTTAATGCATACATATTAGAAAGAAGCACGTAATTCACCGCATTGTTGGAATCCAACTCCAATAGTTTTTCGCCAGCTGTCCGCCCTAACTCCATCATTCGCTCACTATTCCCTCTACAACAAGCTCCAAGAACAGTTCTCCAAATAAGCACACTCGGATTCATTGGCATTTTCTTTAAAAAATCTTCCATTTTATCAAACTCACCAGCTCTTCCAAGAACATCCACCATACAAGAATAATGCTCCATTTTAGGGTTTAACCCGTATACTTTACTCATGGAGTTAAAATAGTCAAACCCTTGGTCAACCAAACCCATATGGCTACACGCAGATAACACCCCAACAAAAGTCACATGATCCGGAGCTTGCCCTTCCAGGGTCATTTTCGTAAATATCTCCGAAGATTTATCCCCATATCCATATCTAGCATATCCAGATATCATCGAATTCCAAGAATAAACATTTTTCACACGCATCTTATTAAAAAAAAGTGTCGCGTAATCAATTCTTCCACATTTTGAATACATATCAACCAATGCACTTCCAACCACTACATCGGATTCCAAATCCATACGAATCCCACATCCATGGACTTCCATTCCACGTTCCAATGTTGCAATTGAAGCACACGCGCTAAGAACAGTAGCAAAAGTGAAGCGGTCTAACCTTTGACCATTGGTCAACATAAGTTTGACCAAATCCATAGCCTTGTTTAATAGCTCATTATGTATGTAGCCTGAAATCATTGAATTCCAACTTGTTTCGTCTCTTCGAATTCCCATTCTTGAAAAAACTTTCTCACATTCATCTATACATCCACATTTTCCATAACACGATAGAATCGCGTTTTCCACTGTGTTATAATCGGAATCATGGTGTTTTAGAGATAACCCGTGAATTTGTCTGACTAATTCAGTCATGGAAAGAGGCGATATTGCTCCGAGAATATTTACAAATGTTATCGAATTCGGACGCCACCCACCACGCATCATTTCCATGAAATAGAAAACAGAATCAGGAACTAAGGGATCGGAATCGGAATCGGAAAATGCGCCGATGATGGAATTCCATGAAACTTGATCGTGTTCATGCATCAATGAGAATACTTTCTTGCAGTTATGTAAACATTTGGTTTCTGAATAAAAGTCGATAAGAGAATTTGAAACTGAAACATCGGTATCGAGTCCAAATTTAACTCCTTCACAGTGTATTTGTTGTCCTAAAGTTGCTAAATGTAAACCAGCACATGAATTCAAAGCACTAATCAGTGTGAAATTTGCAGGTGTCACTTGGTTTCTTCTCATTGAACAAAACATCATAACTGCATCTTTAAAGTAACCATTTTGATCAAAACCAGTGATAATCGAATTCCATGAAATTTGGTCTTTGTGTGTCATAAGTTTGAAAGTAGAAACAGCTTCTGTAACCGAGCCACATTTGGAGTACATATTTATCAGACTGTTTCCAATCGCGACATTGGAATCAGTGATTCCATTCCGGATAACATAAGCATGAACCTCTCTACCCTTTCTCCTACCTTCTTCTAATCTAGAGAATTCACCAAAAGTACTTAAAAGAATTACATAAGAATCAGATGTTAATTTAACTAAATCTTTCATTACTATAAAAACTTCAACAGCTTCTTCTCCATGTTTTTGTCTTGCTAAGCCAACCATAAGTCCATGCATGGACACCACATTCTTTACATCCATTGATTCAAAGATCTTTCTAGCTATGGTGGTTTGACCAGATCTAGCAAACCCACTCACCATAGCACTACCTACATACAAGTCATGTAAAAATCCAGACTTTTGTATTCTGCACATCATTTGATCAAGCAAAAATGAACTTGTTTCAGATAAAGCAGAAGCTGCTATTATTAAGCTTCCAAATGTGTATTCAGTTGGTTTGAATCCCTCTACTTGCATACCAGATAAGAGCTTAAAAGCAGAAACTGTATCTCCTTTATGAGAATAGACTGAAATAATCGAATTCCATGACACCAAACTTTTAACTTCCATCTCATGGAAAATGCAAGAAGCATAATCAGGTGAATCCATACAATTCCCATACATTGAAATCAGCCCATTACATACGACCTCATGTAAAGAATTTAAAGTTTTTGAAACAAAGCCATGAACTTGGAGACCAAATCTACGCCCATGAGATTCTAGAACTTGGCAAGCTCTCAAAACACTACCGATAGCATAATGAATAGGTGGAAATCCCCCACGAATCATCTCCTTGAAAACAGTACAGGCCTCGTTAGGCATATGGTTTCGGGTATACCCTGATATTAAACAAGACCATGAAATTGAGTTCCTGAAAGACATTTCGTCAAACACGTTGCGTGCAGAAACCATGTCACCGATCCTTGTGTAAATATTGACAAGGGTATTAAGCAAGAACACATCTGAAGTATACCCATTCTTGAAAATTTGTAGATGGAGCTGCTTGGAATCCTCATGGGAAGAAGAATACTGATATTGAGTAACAAGCGATTCATATTTTTCCCAATTTGAGGAAGAAAATTGCGTGATTCCGAGGTTGCCCGGATAAGATTGATCGAACAATGTTGTTGAGGAGGGAGAAGTTGATTGCAAAGATGAATTAGGGTTTAGGGTATTGAGAAGAAGTGTGTCTTTTGAACGATCTAGTGATGGCGCGAATGTAAGGATAGCAGTGCTTGTATTGTACGAAAGCCGTTTGTGGGTAAAGACGATGTTTCTCTTAAACATGGTACACTACGTTTTTTTGAACAATTTTCACTTCTATTCATGTACCTAAGCTCCTTTTTTTTTTTTTTTTTTTAAATATAATCTACTTTTAATTGCACTTATGTCTCAACTTGTAACATCAATATCAAAAACAAAAACAACATTTAATACCATTAAGTTAAAAGGCTTTTAGTATTTAAGCTTTTCTATATACAAAAACAAATAATATTTATTTTAACCCTTTATATCAATTATACTTTATAGTTTTATCATTATACTCCATCCGTCCTAAAATTATTGTCCACAGATAAAAAACACATAAATTAAGGAAACATTAATTATCACTAACTTTATTAAATAAAATGACATTTGTACCTTTTTTTGCAATTAATTTATCATTTTTTTACATTTAATTTCATGGTATGTTAGTTAATAATAAGGGGTATTCTGGTAAAAAAAATATTTATTTTTAAAAGTAGATTCTTATTTTAAAACAAACCAAAAAGGAAATATAGAATATGAGACGAAGGGAGTATATAAACAAAAATTAATTTATGACAAATATATAACTTGGTGTTTGGATTATGTTTCAAAATAAAAAAACTGAAATGTCCCAAAAACATGATCCAAAAATTTCATTTTTAATTTAAGTAAAATAGTATTCCAACATTATCCATACATCCCAAATAAAACAAGTGTATCAAATATCATAAAATCATAGTGAAATATCAAGTGCGGAATCCATGTAGTGTGTGCAATGTAGTCACTCCGAGCTCTTCACCTTGCAACTGAAAGTACCTGAAATATAAACTGAAAAGCGTAACCACAGAGCTTAGTGAGTTCCCTAAACTACCCCATACCATACATAATAAATCACATATTGGGCTCGACATCAGGCCCCACCCAGTATCGAGCCCCGCTCGGTTTACAGATTTGTTATTCTCAGGCCTCACCTATCGTCACTGAGCCTCACCCGCTACACATATACAATATATATCACATAGTCATGCTAACATATATAATGATCATAAACACTAGCATATGTTCCAGTCATCAGGCCTCGCCTGACATCGAGCCCCGCCCAGTATACATAGCAGCACACAACACATGCAAGGGTCACGTAGAATCCTAACATCCTAGCATAACGACATTGGTGCCTTAGACCCAATAAACCCAATGAGGAAACTCACCTCGAATGCTGAATCTCAATAAAAGAAATCCCTAGCTGCTACCCTGACGACTCCCCGAGCTATCAGTACAAAATAACACCCAATTAACACTTGGGTTCCAATATATAGCCAACAATCCATACTTAGGGTAAAATGACTATTTACCAATGGCCTAGCTTGAACCAAAACTGAGGCCCAAATCCATAAACCAAAAAGGCCCAAACCCAATTGATCCACTAAGGCCCACTTATGGCCCAATTTTCCAAATTGGGCCAAACCCCCATATTGGCCTTACCCTAAAGCCCAATATTTTTCCTTAGCCCAAAAGCTTGGTTTCAGATGGCCCAAAAGTCCCAAAGCAACAAGGTCCAAAGACGTGGCCCAACCGAGGCCCAAAAGATGCGAAGCCCAAACTGACTAAGTACGTAGGGCGTACTCAACTGTACGTTAAGCGTACTCGCTGCATGGCTTGTACACTGCACGTACTGGCTTGTACACCCAACATACTCCTTCATTAAGCCATATCTTCCATTAAGCTCTTAATGCTTAAGTCTAACAGTCCAAAACACAGATTTGAGTCCTAAAGAGTATCTAGAACCATAAAGTCACTGACTTGGGGACTTTGCATGCCCCAAAAGATCACACCTTCGATTTATAACATTCTACTTTCATAATAATGGCCATAACTCATGCATGTATGGTTCTAAGCTTCAAAGATGACATCTTTATGACTCTAGGACAAAAAGAACACCAAGAGTAGCAACTCTAGGCTTCAGAAATGATAATAAACCATAAGATCTCATCTATGGGACCAAAAAGGGTCCAAAACTCAAACAAAGGAAATCTAATCTATAACACAACAAGTTCAGAGTTTTATACCTCAAATGAGTGCCAAATGATGATGATAGCCTGCATCTACACGCTCCCACTCTTCCAATGAAGCTTTAAGATGATCTCCTTCCTTCAAAACACTAAAAGCACACCCAAAAGGCCTTCTAAGCTCAAGAACACTCAACAATAGAGTTAGGGTTTCGAGTATAGGGCTATGAGGACAAGGAGGTTGAATAAATGAGGGTTTCATGTCCATAAGGATGATTATATAGAGGCCAACCCCGGAATTAGGGTTTTCAAAAGTTATTACATACGCCCTGCGTACAATCTGTACGCCCAACGTACATCTCCGGATCCACGATCTAGCCTTCACATGAGTATGCTAAGCGTACTACTTGGTACGCCCACGTACTCGCTTTACAGCTTGTACGCTAAGCGTACCTTGTGGTACGCCCCGCGTACAACTCAAGGACTAAATTGGACAATTTAAATAATGCAAAGGCAAAAGAGAAACTTACCAATATTCAAGTGTTACGAAAACATTTTGTAGTAAAAGTGTATATTAGGGTGTGTGGTAGAAAAAAAAATTAAAAAAGTTTTTATTGACTTATATGTTGTCAAAAAGCTAGAAGTTATAAGCAATTTTTTTTAGTATTTGACAAAACAAATTATAATTGTAAAATGACAAGAAAATAAAAAGAGAGAAAGAAGGAAAATGATGGTCGGGGTTGTTAAGGTACTATATTTTTTATCTAATAAAGTTAAAAGGAGTTTCAAGAACTTAATATGGAGCGACTTCTTGAAAAAGAAAAACAATTTTTTGTACTGTTTTCTTACAAATGGACCATTTCTATAATTTCATTATGGCACCGAGATTATTATGATAATTTTGTTTTATACATGGACTATATTTATAATTTTGATCTTATATAGGAAGTATTTCTCTAATTAGGCTATTATAGGGACCATTTATATAATATTGTTATTACACAAAAACCATTTCTTTAATTTTGGCTTGCACATGTACTATTACTGTATTTTATCTTACATATGGACCATTTTTGTAATTTTGCTATTACACATGATCATTGCAAGTCAAACGTCTTTCATTTACATTCTTCTTGTCTTTAAATTATCTTTGCATTGATTATACTCAAGTTTACTTAATTTATTACTTGAATACTTTGTTGATTGATTATCTTCAAGTCTTAACTGGTTTACCAGATTCGACTAGAACTACATATTAAGAGTAAACATTGATCTTAAAGATTAACTCAATGTTTGAGTTTTCAAACCTTGTTCTTGCGCATTGAATCTTGTTCTCACAATTCCAATTAATTTGAATGAAATAGATTATTCTAAATTTCATACATCTCAAATCTCACATCCAAGAAATATTCTACCCTTTTTAGGTATCTTAAGGTTTCAACAAAATTGTAATGCATTTTGGAACTAGGAATTTACACGATTTTGACAATGAACTAAACATTTGTGTATTCGTAACGTTTTAAATTCACCATTATAACAACATGCCAATAATAAGCTCTATAAACATAATGCATCAAGCACAAAAGGAAATTAAAGAGGATATAAATTGAGAATGAAGATATAATTGTGCCCACAAAAGAAAATGTCATTTTATTAGATTATTCATAACTTTTCGGTAAGGAAACTAAATTTTTTGAAAAATACACTGAACCTCCGAAAACTAAAAAAATAGGATATCAGTTAATTAGGAAACTAAAATCTATAAGAAACCAAACTAGTATGCTATAATCCAAGTTATTAACCCAATATTTGAAAAACAAAATACAAAACTCCATACTTCACTTCCGGGAACTTCGAAAATACCGGAAATAAAACATCGGACGGCGGAATACTCACCTACGCCGGATTTCTCACCGGAAACAGATAATACCGACCCCCATAAAGTGCTCACCACCATCATCTCCGCCTGCGTTTCGTCTCTCCACTCTACAGTTTGCTGAAGTGCAATCTTCAACTCCTACCAGGAAGCAGCAGCATCCACCGCCCGATCTCAGGATCTGTAAGTTTTCTTTTTCTCTTTCTTATAGTAGAATACTTAGATGTGTAAACGAGTTTGGAAGATAAAATATCACGCCTGCACTTGGTCATCTACAACAATAGTTGTGTGGCAATTGAAAGCTATTTATCTATTAAAATATTAAAAAAGTTGCAAGCTTCAACTATAATAAATAAAGATTCATTTTGCCACATGTCAATCTCTCATGAGTTTTGACACTCGTCATTTTATGATATTTTTGAAATAAATAATATCCACATGTCAATCTCTCATGAGTTTTGACACTCGTCATTTTATGATATTTTTGAAATAAATAATATCCACATATCAATTTCTTGGTTTTTTCGATTTTTAAAATTAAAAATGCACATAATATTTATATATTTATCTTTGTAAAGTATTAAATGTAATAAATGAGATAGTAAATTGCAATTAAGATGTTATTGATTCCTTATATTAAAATTTTATTTTAAAAAATATTTATTATTTACACTTTGATATTTAATCTTTTTTTTAATCAACCTGTGTATTACACGGGTTTACACCTAATATATGAATAATTATTAATCTTATTTAATGTGCTACATAATTTATAAATTTTTATTCTGTTAAATATAAAATATTCTGGAAAATGATTTAGAATGTAGACTAATCTTTTTTCCATAGTTTATCATATATTAATATTAATATTATTCCAACATTTTAATTTTACAAGACATGTAAGTGCACTCTAAAAAATGTAATAAATGGTAATTTGGAGGTTCAGTAGCATTTCATAATTAGATTATCACATTTTCAAATGGCAAAGTGGATATTTGGTTTGTTTTTTTTCAAACGATCGATCATAAAATATTTTATATGCACATTTTCTAGAATTTTATGTATTATAACTCTTAACAAAATAACTAATTTATACGATTATTTATGAAGTTTTGATTTCCCCTCCAATTTTAACCCTGGAGAATCCATGGTTGGTTTAGAACTTTAGGACGAATGACAAACATCAAATACATTCAACCATTTTTCAAACACATAATTTGAATGAAAACAAACTATGCTAAATTCCACACACCCCTAACACACTTACATCCAAGAAATATTCCATCATTTTTACCTATTAAGGTTTCAGCAAAGGATTGTAATGCATTCAGGAACTGGAATCAACAAAACTTTGACCATGACCTAAACATTTGTGCAAATATCCGTACCATTTTTAATTCACACCATTAGAACCACATGCCAATCATAAGCTACGCATAATGCCTAAGGCACAAAAGGAAATTAAAGAGAATATAATTTTAAGAACGAAGTGATGGTTGTGCCCATTAAAGCAAAATAAAGGGCGAGAATCAAACCGTTTATAAAATAAAGTGCTAGATGCAAAACAACCAATGACCATAGCATAAGTGCATATGTGTGTTAACAAGTCATCACTAATGTAGAAAATTACCATTCAAACAATCGTGGAAGAAGTACCACATGTTTGCACGAAATAACCTGCATTTTCCACTTTTCTTAGGAGAAGAATATCTCCCGTATTGTGAGTAAAGATCAGCCCACGGCTCTATTCGTATAAGAGTAGCACCATTGTCAATGCTAAAAAAGAATGCATATTCTTCTCCTGTCTTTTCAGGTGACACCCATTCCATTTTGCTGAAATCTAATTCTTGAATCTTGAATGGAAATTCTGGCATTCGATTTATCACATAAAGATTTTCACCCGAACTTACAAGCCTCCAATGATTACGCTCTGTCTTGGAAAAATTCTTGATTTCAAGTAACGTTACTTTGGGTGTTGGAAAAAGTCTCACTTCACTTAAACAATTATTGGGGTGTAGGGTATATATCTTCCCTTTGAAAACATGTAAATCATATATGCTTAAAGGGGTGAAGACACAAGTCCATTCTCGTTTACCAGCTATACAAAACCATATTTTGTTCCAAAATCTATTGATCACAACAAACACCCACGCGGATATTGAAGGAGAAAAGACAAGGATAACCCCCAGACCATGAATGTAAAAGCGGATATCAAGGAAAGGGAAAGGAGCATGAAATTCATGCCTTGTGATAGGATTCACAAGCCATAAGTCGTTGGTTTCCTCACCAATCAGAATCAAGTAACCACAACTTACTCCAATACATTGCTTGTAATCAGAATGAGCTGGAAGAATGGTTTTGAACTTTATCCCTTGAGAGTCCTCTAGATATAGATAGCACTCATTCTCATTAGGATGGGTAGATATAGATATAGCCATGGGTGGTCTGGACACTATAAACTTGTTCTTGTTAGATAGAGCGAGTGATCTCCATGACTTACAAACTCTGCTGAATGCAAGAAAATCAACAACTCCAAGTTGCATCATAACTAAGAAAAGCACATCATGGTTGAGATCTGACCAAGGATCACAACTCTTGATCTTCATCCTGATAGATGCATCATCATGGTTCTGGTCTATAGTCATACTTCTTGTCTCTGCCATTTCTAGTTTTCTACACTTGCAAAAAAGAAAAAAGCATTTGAGAGATTCGTATGTACCATTTTCATATAAGATACAAAGATTATATATAAACAGGGGACAAGAACACGTTTACACAGACACTAAAAAAATCAAACTTTATGAAAACAATATGCTAAAGTAATGAGCCATAGGGCATTCACCATGGTATATTAATAATCTGAGGGATCCTAAAATTGAAGGAGTTTCATGTGGGTATAAACAAACATGACTATGATCCAGTCCCATGAAATAGTTACTATAGCATGCAATTACGTAAGTCCAAATAATATAAATAACTAAAAGATAAAGCCAAGCATATGTTACCATTTAGAATAGTTCATGTTTTAAATAGATTGATAACAAAATATGGTTAAAGTCAATCAGGACTTAGGAAAGCAAGAGGCATATAAATATGGTCTTTTGTTGTGCAACTAAACAAAGAAGCAAGATTGGTTTGTTGATAATTAATGAAAAGCTATATTAATCAAATAGTTCCTAAGGTTTAGGTTTGTGGCTGAATAGGAAAATAGGTTTTTATCCCTGTCAACCACTGGACAGGAGTTAATAGGAAACTTAAGCAGGATGATCAATCGGTTGAACTTAAGCAGGATGTTCTTGAAGAAACTATTTACCTAATTAGTTATAAACAAGACATGTTCTTGAAGAAACAATTTACCTAATTAAAAACTGAGGATGAGAAACTTAAGCAGGATGATCAATCGGTTGAACCTAAGCAGGTGCTATACTTCTATGAGGCTGGCTCTAGCTAGGTATAGTAGATTCGTAATTTCGTATCCCATATTCTTATAAATCGCAATTTCACCAATAGGCTAATTGGCTAAAATGTGTCGATATTGTTTTGGGCTACAGAGTTCATTAGGTCTGGTGATTGCTCATTCACAAGCCCAATGCGCAGTTTGTATGGGTTGTTGGCTGGGGGTAAACGGAATAAAAGGCTATCCAAGTTTTCTTATCTATAACTGTAAGGGGTAAATTACAATAATGTTAGTTCGGTAATTTGTTTGTTTAGCCTTTATTTATTTCTTTTATTATTATTTTTTAATTCGGATAATCTTTATGGTTTGATTTGGTTTTGGTTTTGGTTTTGTCTTTGACTGATTTAGAATACGATAATATCCTTATAAGAATTTTTTTGTTTGTTTGTGTTTCCTTTTATGTTATTATTAATATTGTTATTAAAAACAAATTGGGACCCAACTCAAGGTAACATTAGAAGAACCGGAAAAAAAACATAACATGGTAAATTACTTCTACCCTTATAAGCGATTCATTTTTTGCTCTATGTTTCTCTTATTTCTCAATTATTTTGTGTTTGTATTTACTATACACTAGGTGTAACTTTGTATCGAGTATACAAGAGTCGGTTTCAGGACGATATTCTAATTATTGTTGCATTAAACATGAAGTCAAATTGAGTTGCTCGAGAGTTGTTCTATGAAATGCTAAAGAAAGATTTACAAAAATCGATTTAAAAAATGTATAAATGTTGTGAGTTTGAATGTTAGAATGTTGTTGGTACAAGGTTACTGAAAATCGATTGACAAGTAAAATCTCATCTTAAAGATAAAAGGACCAAGTAAAATATGTAATAAAATAATCCATAACCATAACATATATACTTGGAGAGAAGCCATGGTTTGTTTAGAACTTTAGAGCGAATGACAAACATCAAATATATTCAACCATTTTTCAAACACACAATTTAAATGAAAACAAATTATTCTAAATTTCACACACTCCGAACACACTGAATCCAAGAAATATTCCATCATTTTTACCTATTAATGTTTCAACAAAGGATTGTAATGCATTCAGGAACGGGAATCAACAAAACTTTGACCATGACCTAAACATTTGTGCAAATATCCGTAACATTTTTAATTCACAACATCAGATCAACATGTCAATAATAAGCAGCACGTAATTCCTAAGACACAAAAGTAAATTAAAGAGAATATAAATTGAGAACGAAGTTATAGTTGTGCCCTCTAAAGCAAAATAAGGAGCGAGAACCAAATCATTTTTAAAAAAAAGTGCAATATGCAAAACAACTAATGACCATAGCATAACCGTGTTAACAAGTCATCACTGATGTAGAAAATTACCATTCAAACAATCATGGAAAAAGTACCACATTTTTGCATGAAATAACCTGTCTTTTCCATTTTTAGCGGGAAAAGAATATTTACTGTATTGTGAGTAAAGATCAGCCCACGGCTCTATTCGTATAAGAAAAGCACCATTGTTAGTGCTAAGAAAGAATGCATATTCTTCTCCTGTCTTTTCAGGTGACACCCATTCCATTTTGCTGAAATTTAATTCTTGAATCTTGAATGGAAATTCTGGCATTCGATTTATCACATAAAGATTTTCACCCGAACTTACAAGCCTCCAATGATTACCGCTCTGTCGTTGAAAAATTCTTGATTTCAAGTAACGTTACTTTGGGTGTTGGAAAAAGTCTCACTTCACTTAAAAAATTATTGGGGTGTAGGGCATATATCTTCCCTTTGAAAACATGTAAATCATATATGCTTAAAGGGGTGAAGACACAAGTCCATTCTCGTTTACCAGCTATACAAAACCATATTTTGTTCCAAAATCTATTGATCACAACAAACACCCACGCGGATATTGAAGGAGAAAAGACAAGGATAACCCCCAGACCATGAATGTAAAAGCGGATATCAAGGAAAGGGAAAGGAGCATGAAATTCATGCCTTGTGATAGGATTCACAAGCCATAAGTCGTTGGTTTCCTCACCAATCAGAATCAAGTAACCACAACTTACTCCAATACATTGCTTGTAATCAGAATGAGCTGGAAGAATGGTTTTGAACTTTATCCCTTGAGAGTCCTCTAGATATAGATACCACTCATTCTCATTAGCATCATTAGATATAGATATAGCCATGGGTGGTCTGGACACTATAAACTTGTTCTTGTTAGATAGAGCGAGTGATCTCCATGACTTACAAACTCTGCTGAATGCAAGAAAATCAACAACTCCAAGTTGCATCATAACTAAGAAAAGCACATCATGGTTGAGATCTGACCAATTCTTCCTGATAGATGCATCATCATGGTTCTGGTCTCTAGTCATACTCTTTGTCTTACCCATTTCTAGTTTTCTACACTTGCAAAAAAGAAATAAGCATTTGAGACATTTGTATATATCGTTTTCATATAATATAGAAAGGTTATAAACAGTGGAGAAGCATAAGCGTATAAACTGACACTAAAAGAATCTAACTTTATGGAAACAAGAAGCTAAAGTAATAAGCGAATGGGCATACTGTTAGGAATTGAGACAGGGTACACGCAGCGGAAACACTATCACACACTCACAAACGAAACGAGAAAATAAAGTAATAAAGAACACAAGGATTTTACGTGGTTCGGATTCGGTGTAAATCCTACGTCCACGGGCTGCAACTAGATTTTCTTATTAACTCAATAAGATTACAATTTATAACTCTACAAGTTATATTTGATGCACACATTCTCTGCTACACAACACACACACACACACACACACACACACACACACATATATATATATATATATATATATATATATATATATATATATATATATATATATATATATATAGGAGATGTGCCGTAAACTTTTCTTGATTCACACAAATTTACCGTCCATATTGACAAAATTGCCGCAATTGAGAAAAAAGGAGCCATCATTTAATAATTTAATATTTCTTGCCGTCCATTGTTTGACCATGCAAAAGATGCGTCCAAATAATAAACAATTGATTTGCCGACATGTACGTCCATTCAATATTAAACAATTGAATTGTTTAATATTTGTCAAGTTACATTTATGGCCCTTGAATTCTTAGAAACTTGTCAATTTGTTCAAGACTCCATAAATCTTAACAATCTCCCACTTGGAGGCTTGAACAACTTTAGCTTTTCTCCGCCATTCAACTCTCAATTATTCCAATAATCTTAAAAAACAACCAAGTCCTTTTAGGCTTCCAGTTCCAATGAACAAGCTAAAACTTAGTCTGATTTCTCTAGTTGCAGCCGCCCCTCATCATCAATTACTAGAAGGGTCAGTTGAAGCTCCCACTAGCTCCAACTCAGCCGTGGCTAATCCCACCACTGACTCATCCTCTGTCTCAACTGGTTTGGACACTCCACCGGATCCAGAGATACACCGAGGACCACTAACACTCTCCAAACATAGCAAACATCCAACAGGAGAGAAATTTTCAGTCTTAGTCTTCAAAACCCAACGGCTCTTTGTAACTGTACCCGGAACACGCCCCGTGCTCCCACTGTCACAGAATCTTCTGACTGGTTTAGACTTTCCGACTCGTTCAGCTAACATCCCCTTGGCTTCAGAATTCATGTTTGCAAAATGAACTCTCTTAGCCGTAGATTTAGCGAACCAGATTTTGTCTTGCTTAATCGGGATGGTCATACTTCCCTCAGCAGGTACCTCAACCATATACAATGACCCACGCTTCAAACCTTGAGCAATCACCGAATTACCATTGACCACCATCCATTTACCACCACCAAACCTTACTTCCAGTCCTTGTTTATCCAGCTGACCAACATAAATCAATTTCTTTTTCAGCTCCGGAATCACCTTGACATTTTTCAGGTTCCATGTAGTTCCCAATGAAGTAACCAGATCAATATCTCCCATGCCCGTTACCTGAAGCATCTCGTCATTTGCCAACCGTACCTTCCTAAAATCTCCTTCTTTTAGATTCACCATCGTTTCCCCGTTGTCCATGGCGTGAAACGAAGCCCCTGAATCCATGACCCAAGAGTCTACATAACTTTCCATACTGAGTAACAATGCATCATCCTCAGACACACTCTCAGCACCAGCAATGTTCAATTCTTTCTTTGGACATTGACTCTTAACATGTCCCACTTCTTGACAGTTCCAACATTTCACATTCTTCAAAGTTCTAGAAGAACTTTTTCCCCGACTCCCACTGCTCCCACTATTCCTGCTATTCCCTCTACCTCTTCCGACATTTAATAAATCAGAAGAGGAAGATCCACCTTGATTCTTGCGTCTGATATCCTCGCCTAGAACCAAATCTCTAACCCCTTCAAAAGTCATACCACTGGTCCCCACGGAACTTGTAACAACAGTAACTGTTCCGGACCAGCTATCAGGTAGAGAAGCTAGTAGCAGCGAAGCTTGAGTCTCATTATCAAATTTAATTCCCACAGATGATAATCTGGACAGAATTGAATTTAGATTGTTAATGTGAACCGTAACTGAGCCTTCCTCATTCATCCTTGTAGTGAACAGCTCCTTCATCAAGAACACCTTGTTAGCCGCCGATGGTTTCTCATACATATTTGACAGAGCCTCCATCATACCACGCGCCGTGGTTTCATTCATGATGTTGAAAGCAACGCTCTTCGTCAACGACAATGTAATAACCGTCTTGGCTTTCTTGTCCTTTGAGTTCCACGCATCTTCAGCAGCTTTTTCCATTTTCTCTGGTTTGTCTCCGAGTACCATGTCCAAGTCTTTCTGACATAGCAATGCTTCTAATTGCATTTTCCACCAGCTAAAATCAGAACCATTGAACCTTTCGATTATAATCTTGTCTTCAGCCATTACGGCAAACAAGAAAAAAAAAATTTGGTACACTCGTGTGTGACAGAAAAAACGATCGTACCCTCCAAAACCTCGCTAACCAGGCTCTGATACCAATTGTTAGGAATTGAGACAGGGTACACGCAGCGGAAACACTATCACACACTCACAAACGAAACGAGGAAATAAAGCAATAAAGAACACAAGGATTTTACGTGGTTCGGATTCGGTGTAAATCCTACGTCCACGGGCTGCAACTAGATTTTCTTATTAACTCAATAAGATTACAATTTATAAATCTACAAGTTATATTTGATGCACACATTCTCTGCTACACAACATATATATATATATATATATATATATATATATATATATATATATATATATATATATATATATATAGGAGATGTGCCGTAAACTTTTCTTGATTCACACAAATTTACCGTCCATATTGACAAAATTGCCGCAATTGAGAAAAAAGGAGCCATCATTTAATAATTTAATATTTCTTGCCGTCCATTGTTTGACCATGCAAAAGATGCGTCCAAATAATAAACAATTGATTTGCCGACATGTACGTCCATTCAATATTAAACAATTGAAATGTTTAATATTTGTCAAGTTACATTTATGGCCATTGAATTTTTAGGAACTTGTCAATTTGTTCAAGACTCCATAAATTTTAACACATACACCATGGTATATTAATAATCTGAGGGATCCTAAAATTGAAGGAGTTTCATGTGGGTATAAACAAACATGACTATGATCCCCATACCATGAAATAGTTACTATAACATGCAATTACATAAGTCTAAATAATAAAAAAAACACCTAAAAAATAAAGCCAAACACTTGATGTCATTTAATTAATAGATGATGACAGAATATGGTTAACATCACTCAGGCCTTGGGAAAACAAGAGGCATATAAATATTGTCTTTTGTTGTATAACTAGACAAAGAAACAAGATTGGTTTGTTGATTATGTAAAGCTATATTTGTATTTGGTTTTCTCAACTAGTTCGAAAGGTTTTTGTTTGTGGCTGAATAGGACAATAGGTTTTTATCCCTGTCGACCACTGGACAGGAGATAATAGGAAAAGATATCGCTATATGACCGAGTATTAACATCCAAATTAATCCTCCTCTAGAATTAGTTATAAACAAACAAAATCGAGATGTTCTTAAAAACAATTTACCGGATTGAAACTGAGAATGAGGAACTTAAGCAGATGGCAAATCGGTTGAACTCAAGCAGGTTCTATACTTCTATGTGTCTAGCTCCCGCCTACCCCTGCCGATGCGTATCGTGGATTCGTGTATCCATTGCAATTTTACCGATAGGCCAATCCGGTAAAATGCGCCGGATTTATTTTGGGCTCCATAGTTCATCAGGCCTAATAGCGCTTGCTTTTTCACAAGCCCAATGCGCAGTTTGCTGCGAGTAAATGCAATACAGGCTATCCAAAGTTTTAGAGTGAGATCTCTTTTAGTATCGTCATCTTTTTGTTTTCTTTTCTGTTCAGGTTAAACAAAGACTAATATGTTGCAGGTTTTATAATTCTATGTTTTTGTCTCTTGCTCTGGATGCATATTGTAGATTCGTACCTAAATCCATAGGAATCGTTATTTTACCAACAGGCTATTGATCGGCTAAAATGTGTCCATACTATCTTAGGATGCGTTTGGTTGCTGGAATGAAATGAAATTCGAGAGAAAAGGATTCCAATTCCAAACACGTACCCGTGTTTGGTTTAACTTTGTATGATGAAATTGGAATCCTAAATGAAAAAACTTTCTATCAAATAGAGAAAACACTTTTCTTCATGAAGATGATGTAACTAATTCCCTGAAGGAAAGTGACATTTTTACCTTATAATCCTTGTTTTATTTCACAACATAACCTTTACCACCATCACCCACCGCCACCACCACCTTTACCACCTCCACCACCCACCACCACCGCTGCCACCACCAACACCTGTCTACCACCGTCACCACTACCACTTACCATCACAGCAACCACCACCTACCACCATCACCACTGCCACAACCGCCACGACTGCCCCGACTACTGCTACCATTACTACCATCCGTCACCACCAACACCACCACTGCCGCCACCGCCACTGCTATCACCACCACCATTAGTCACCACCATCACTACCGCCACAACCACTACCCACCACCGTCGCCGCCACTCGTCACCACCACCACCTACACCACCCACCATTGTTACCACTACCACTACTACCCACCACCACCACCACCACCACAACCCACCAACTGCCACCACAACTACCATCACCACCACCACCACCACCACCACCCACCTACTGCCACCACCACCTACTACTGCTACCGCCACCACCACCACCACTGCCATCACCACCCACCACCACCACTGACCATCACCGCCACCACCACCACCGCTGCCACCACCAGCACCTGTCTACCAACGCCACCGCCACCACTACCACCTACCGTCACCGCAACCACCACCTACCACCATCACCACTG